ATGGTCTAGCAGGCATTATGTTCTAACTATAAATTGTTTGTAACAAGTTGAAACAAGTCATCTGACAAAGGTGAAAATGAATCTGTGCTGTGTACCATTGTGCTCCCAGATTTTCAGGCTTACATTGCCACACCAAAGGCTAAAATTTCTAGTCTTGTCTCAATGTCTAAAAAAAGTCCCATGAGCTCAGAAGAAGCTGTGTAAAGAGTCTGATGAAGGAGACATTGTGGACCACCCAGAGAGTGATACTGCTTGCATAAAAGGATGTTAAATTGTGGGAATATTGACCACGACCTTGGGCTTCGAACCAAGTGACTTGCCTTGTGAAAACTAAAAAACAATCTTCTGCTCCAATAAGTTCATAACCTATATCATTTATTTGATTTGATTCAGCCTTTGTGCTTGGATATTGTCTGAATGTGTAACACAATTGTGTGGTTGAAACATGGCTGGAGGATCTGGCCTAGAGAGTTCCATCTGAAAAGTCACATTTCTTCTTCTTGTGTTTCAACAAGATTTGGAGAGTCACTCATTATTTTTTCTCTTGTGTGTAAGACTAATTTCTTTGCTACCAGGCATAAATCTATAATCAGTAGTTGTCATGTTATGTGGGTTAGCCCCAAGAAAAGCATTTTTATTCTTTTTAATTTTTTGGCTTTTGCAACTCTCAAAATGGACCCTGATATTTCCCAATGTTCTAGACAAATCAACAAACTATAATTATTTTTTAATCATTACATAAATTTCCAGAACATTTTCCAGTTCTGTTTTAGATGGTCAGCTAAATAATTTTTATTTCTGTTTATTATCTGATAAAAGTGTAAATATATAACTTAAATTAAAAAAACAGCAATCCTGGAATATACTATTATCTACATAATAAAATACTATTATGTACTATCATCATCTTTATTCATAAGTAGAGGACATATATATTAGTAAGATTTAAGGGAAAATGAAATAAATGCTTTCTTGGTTGATTAGCTATAAAATTCATAAAGGCTAGGGAAAATTAGAATCAAATTTTAAGGGATTATTTCATTTTTCCAATTACATAAAAATTCAAAACAGACCCATCTACTTTGTGGATTTGATTTTCATATGGTTGTGAATTGGTTAGTGTTTTGGAGTGAAGGCTCAGGAAACCTTGAAGTAATCTGATGAGATTTCCTGACCAGGATACATTCTAGGCTGCTTACCTCCAGGCCCTTATGGTATTTCCATTAAAGACACAGATTGTCTGCAAGAAATGACTTTACCATGAGGGCTTGTTGCTGAGCTGTGTGCTGGGCTGGTGGTTGGGCAAGTGCTGGGTCTCTTGCAGGTGCTTGTGGGTTTCCCATAAGGGCCATATTAGGACAAGTAACTGTGGATGTGTGGAGTGATGGGGCAGGAACATTTACTCTTTGCATACACAATCACACACACATGTGCAATAACACACTGCATACATCATATGTGTGCACAATATGCTACGCATGCACCACACACAGATGCAAGGACACAGATGACACATGTGCACATATAACACACGGACACAGACACACACCACACATGTATACACACAAACACAAACTCATGCATACACATCACACATATACACACATGACCACATGCTGCACATGTGTATACACCTACATAATGCACACAGCACCACATGCATATACACATGTGGGCACACACCTGTGTTGTTTCTTGTATCTTCTACCAGTCCGCAACACTGGAATTTTTTTTGTTACATTGTTTGAAAATGTCCTATAGAGTCTGGGTCCTTGTTCATGACAGTGGTTTTAATGCTGCCCCATCCCAAGCAGGGCAGAGTGTCTTTTGAGCTCTATGGATAGTTGTTTAATTTTTGATTAATAGAGAAATTCCTGGTGTTGCTGAAACTAAGATATTTGCAAGCACAGTAGGTATAGGAAGGGGGGTCAGCTCCTGACTCATATCTGTATGAGTAAGCTTATGACCTCATAGAATTGCCTGAGCCTGCTTTTACCCTAGTCCCCTTCGTTTTTCATCAACCTGTTAAGCCTTGAATATTTATTAGCTTCATCTACACATTTATTGTTCTTCCTTCCTATATTCATATATTTTCCGTTTTGTGTTTGGCTGATAATATTTTAGCCTTATTTCTTTTCAGTAGAAAACAGTTTGTAGTAGGAGCCTTTGTACTGCTGTTTTTTCTTGGCCTGCCCCACTCCAGGTGACCTATTTGTGGAAAGAGGATGGGCACATGACTCACCTGCATCTTCTGCAATTGGCAGGGAGCATGGAGATATGTCTCAGGAATCCAGATCTCTACATTCTGCTGGTACTGAGGTGACATCAGGAGCCATGGATACCTGATCCTCAGAACCTGACTGAGGAGAATAGGAATGTGGTTAGAGAATGAGCCTGAGAGAGAGAGAGAGAGAGTATGGGAGGGGGGCATTGACAGGGTCAATTGTTCCTTCCCTTGAGTGAGAGGCTGGAACACTTTTCCTCACAGACATTTCTCTATTGCTGTAATTTAACTCAGCCCAAGCACATGTGAGTGACGTGCATCCTCATGAAGCTTTATCAATTGGTTGGTGTGATATGAACCTTCTACCTCATATGGCTGCCTCTTGAAGGTTTGGTCCAGATCATCTAATCACAGGAAATCAGTAGGAATGCCATGATTAACCTTAAGGGGAGAGTAGGCTCCTGGGGTGTATGGCTTGGGGCAGGGATCTCTGCTTGGCCCCCTCCCTTCCTCATTAGTATCACTCAACACTGGCTGTCCACGTGGCAAAACAGGGCTGAGTAAAGTGGAAAAAACACAGATGCAGGATCTTACTTCAATATGGAGAAAGTGGAAACCACCCTTCACAGTCCAGAAAAATCTCTATATGTAGGCTCATTTATTGGAGAACATCTTATAATAGTTTTAAAATTGTGAAGGTCAGGAATTCCCAGATGTTTTGTCCTGAGGGACCACAGGGTGTCTAGTCTTAGGACTGCCCATAGCACAGGGTATGCAGGGGCTGGCAGATGAGAAGTATGAGTGTCTGTGCTGGGTACAGAGGCTGCAGGCAAGGTGAATGGATCAAGGTGGTGAGTGAGCTACCTGCATGGCACTTCTGGAAAACTAGAGGAGGGGATATGTTCCCTGATAATGGAACATCAGTGTTATGAGCAGCCTCTGGTTATGGAGTTGGGACTGGGTCATCAGGGAGAAAACTGGACACCAGACAATAGCTATCACTTTCTTAAGCATGTGCTTGTGGCAGGGCTGGACCAATACTGTGAGTCTCAATTCCACTGCATCATGTGGCATCTGAGGTTGTACAAGGTGGAGGGCATGAAAGGGATCATGGTACTTCTGACTTCTTTGTGCCATGACCTCTGTGTTGAAATCAACGGTATGGTCAGCTGGGATTCAGGGATGTAAGGGTGATGACTGGGTGTCATCCCCATACACAGGGAGGCTGGATGTCTGGTGCTAATCTAGGAATGAGTGCTTCTTATCAGTGGTTAGGATCTAACTATCCAAACCTATGGGTTGCCCAACCACCCCACTCCCAACACCCTCCCACTTCCTCTTCCATTGTTCTTACCATTCCAGACTGTTCTTTTCCTATTTCTTTGTTTTCATTTTATTTTATCTCTTAAAAAATCCTCACCCAAGGATATGTTTATTGACCTTAGAGAGGAAAATAGAGAGCATCCAAGAAAGAGGGAGAGGAAAGAGAGAAACTGAATGATTGCCTCCCATATGTGCCCTGACTGGGCATCAAATCTGCAGTTTTGGTGTATGGGATGACTCTCCAACAAACTGAGCCACCTAGCCAAGGCTTATTTTATCTTTTTAATTGTTCAGCCCTCCAAACCACCCTAGCACAGCACGTTATACCAGATCAGAACAAGGAAGTAACATTCTTTGCTGTGAAGCCAAGAACAAAGGCTGCATCCTGAGTGATGTGTATTCTCTCTCAAAGCGGCAATTGGCACTCAAAGTGAAATCTAGGGAATGTTTTTGAGGGAAGAAGTGGAAGACATTTGATCATAAGCCTCATATAGTTAGTGAGGAAAATGGGTGTAAGCTGAAAGCTGCCTGCATTTTCTGGGCACTCTGGTTTTCACAAAACCCAGTTGGTGTGAACAAGGGAGAGAGAAGCATGATGCATATGATGAGCATCTCTTTGATGCACTAGGACTTTCACTAGATTTGTGACACCCAGGCAGGTGCTCATTTATAACTCAGGTGCTCATGAGACTAACTGTTGAGGCTTTGGGCCAATACAAATGATTATGGAAAAACTTCAGAAACATAGGTGGGTTGGAAGTGGCTGGCTGTGACCCAGCAAGAGGTGCCAGGAGGCTCTTAGCAGAGGTTCTGGGGTCCTGAGCATTTTGAACTTGTGTTGTGATTTTCACAGCAGCTTGGAAGTGCGGTAGAAGATGCCAGCTGTGTGTTTTCACAGGAAACAAAGAGCTGGTTAGATGAAAGTTGGCTGGGACAGGAGCGGGGCCCTGGCAAGATCTGAAGTGTTGACCATGTGCTAGAAAAGCAGTCACTAGGGCACTTGAATGTTGGGAATAACCCTGAGGCTCGTGATGATTCTGAGAAACCAAAACTTTAAGGAAAATCAAAAGTTGACATTGGTTTTTCACATTGAATTGTGTAGTTGTTTCTGGTGCTAGTAAAGCTAATATTTAGCAAATGATGCCTTTTCAGTAAACAAGTGTCTATTCTTCAAAGTTCCTAGGATTAAAAGCTGAAGAACTTGTGAGATTAATTGAGGCTGAAGATTAACTTATTTTCTCAGCTTGGAATAAGGATCAGCAGTGCTATCTCAAATAAAATAAGATGTCCAATCAGCTCCATTTACCCCTTCACTACTTGTAGGATCTCGACGTCATGGAGCTTCTGAACCTGTTGTGGGCACTTAGTCATTTACAGTCTCTCCCTGCTTCTCTACTGCTTTGGGCGGTCCCCTGCCCAGACTTATCTGGGGACTGTGACTTGCAGGGCCACCATGGAGCTAGAGCAGATGTTGGAGGGGCAGATGCAGATTTCACAAAATACTCACTCTGAGTATGGTCTCACAGATAACGTCAAGAGGATAGTGGAAAATGAGATTAATTCAGAAAAGTGATTAAAACAGAAAGTGAATCTCTAGTCTTTGCCAGCTAGTGCCTATCTGGATCGGACTGTTGTGACTCTCTTATTACAGGGACTTGAGGTGCTTGCAAAGGAAAGACCACCACATCCCATTGAATTTTCAGCATCATATCTTAAAAAAACAAAACAAAACAAAACAAAACAAAACAAGGCACAGTTTGAAGATCAAAACTGACTTACTGGGAAGAACAGAAAAATTTGGCTTCTACTATAGATTTACATGATTAAAAGGTAGCTTTAATTGCCATGATTCCATCCTCATTCTCCCAACCATTTGAAAGTATGAGAACCTTTAGGACAACAATTTGCTACTGGAGTTGCAGAAGAAAACATTTCCCTTATTTTGATTTAATCAACATACTTATTTAATGAGTATACTATGTTCATTTTTCTCAGACTGTCTTTGACTTTGTTTTTAAAATGACCTTAAAAATGAACTGTTATATATCAAACAAAAATAAGGTGTCCACTTTAGGAAGAACAGGAAAAACTTTGCCTTTGATTCTCTTATTTCTGACGATCACCAGGGACACAGGAAAACACCTCATTCCTAATACCTGCTGGGCAGAGAGAGAAAAAGTCAGAAATTCCCTGATAGTCTTCTTGAATGGAATATATTCTGTTTTATTTTATATATTTAAAATGTGACTCAAATCATTCTGTAAAGGGAAGGAAGGAAAGAGAGAAAATACTTCATGATCATGGTTGTTGAAGGGCAGGAGAGAGGGAAGGAATGCCAATTTCAGTTCTGCAATTGTGCAAGCATTTGAAGAAGCTTGTGTTATAGGCCAGTAAGAAGGAATAAGTTCTAAGACACAAGGGCGGGGGGAAAGGCATTTAAAGATCAGGTGGTTACTCAGGCTGAAACAGGACTTTCTGTGCCTATGTTCATTTGTTTATGACAGCCACAAGGTGTGTCCCAAAGTAATTTCTGAGTTGTTTTCAGTTATAATGACATTTAGGTGCTATCTGAAACACCTGTTGCAAATGTACCTGCAACATTCAGTACAGGGGAAGCACTGAGACAAAGCTATTTTCACAAGAGAATAGCAATGTGAAATGTATGGCCTCACTAGGTACATGTTGTAAACATGCATAGAAAACATTAACAGCCATGTTGGCCATGTCCTTCTATGGTGGGATGGAGTAGACCTGCTCGTCTTGCCTCTGCGTCATCTTTACTGAATTCTCCCTGTTACCCAACCTGTTTGTAAGACATTCTTTGAGCTGCAGAATATTGTTTCAAAGAAAAGGTAGCCTTCCCTGACTTTCACTGACTTTTTTTATTTTTAGAACTCTCCACCCCTTATTAATGTTATTAAAATGTTTTTTAAATACTATTTAAAAACCCCCACTATACTACCATTCTCCCCAAGTCTTTGCTGAGAGCATTGAGCTGCAGGCATGGTTAGTCCAGAATCCACCTTCACTTGGACATGGGCTCAACAAATGCCTCCTCTCACAACCAAAAGAAGGATAATAACATGTTTATTATGTTATTTAAAAACAAAATAAAACAAAACAAAACCCCCCATAAATGCCAAGTAAAACTGTGTGGAAGTCTGACAACCAAGAAGTTAAATAAGAAACTTTCATCCAGACTGGTAGCAGGGGCAGAGATGGCCAGCTGGGGTGTAAAGGATGCCTGGCAAAGAGGTGGTTTGCAGACTGGGGCAGGCGAGGCAGCAGCTGGTGGACCAGGAGTTCCATATTTGCCTGCAGATAAACCGGGAGGAACAACTGGGAAGCGAGACAGACCAGGAAACCCAGGGTTCCAGCATGGGAAAAGAAAGCCTCAAACCTCTGGCTGTAAAATTCTGTGGGGGTTGAGGTAGCAGGAGAAACTCCCAGACCAACAGGAAAATTTATTGGAGAGACCCATAGGGTCCTAGAATGTACACAAGCCCACCCACCTGGGAATCAGCACCAGAAGGGTCCAATTTACTTGTGAGAAGAGGGGGAAGTGACTGAAAGCCAGCTGGGAGCCAAGCAAGCTGCACTGTTTTCTTTTGGACCCCTCCCCCACATGCAGCACCACAACAGAATGACATGGGCTCCCCACCCTGATGAATATCTAAAGCTCCTCCCCTTACAATGTAACAGGCATGCTGAGACAAAAACAAATTTATATATATGTATGTGTGTGTGTATATATATATATATACATACATATATATGTATATATATATACACATATGTGTGTGTGTGTGTGTATATATATATATATATATCCCAAATGGAAGAACAGATCAAAGCTTCAAAAACAGAACCAAGCAATGAAGAGATAGTCAATGTATCAGATGCAGAGCTTAGAACATTGATAATCAGGATGCTCACAGAAATGGTTGAGTATGATCACAAAATAGAGGCAAATGTGAAGGCTATGCAAAATGAAATAAAGCAAAACATACAGGCAACCAACAGTAATACATAGGAAACCAGGACTCAGCTCAGAAATTTGGAACAGAAGGAAGAAATAAACATTCAACCAGAACAGAATGAAGAAACAAGAATTCAAAAAAATGAGAAGGAGCTTAGGAACCTCTGGGAAAATTTTAAACCTTCCAAAATTCAAATCATAGGAGTGCCAGAAGGAGAAGAGGAAGAGCAAAATATTGAAAACTTATTTGAAAACAAAATGAAGGAGAACTTCCCCAATCTGGCAAAGGAAATGGACTTCCATGAAATCCAGGAAGCTCAGAGAGTCCCAAAGAAGTTAGACTCAAGAAAGCATACACCAAGGCACACCATAATCACATTATCCAAGATGAAAGATAAGGAGAGAATCTTAAAAGCAGCAAGAGGAAAGGAGACAGTTACCTAGAAAGGAGTTTCCATAAGACCATCAGCTGATTTTTCAAAAGAAACCTTAAAGGCAAGAAGGGACCTGAAAGAAGTATTCCAAGTCATGAAAGGCAAGGACCTATATCCAAGATTACTCTATCCAGCAAAGCTATCATTTAGAATGGAAGAGCAGAGAAAGTGCTTCCTAGATAAGGTTAAATTAAAGAAGTTCATCACCACCAGTACCTTATTATATGAAATGTTAAAGGGACTTATCTAAGAAAAAGGAGCTGATCAAAATTATGAATAGTAAAGTGACAATAAACTCACAACTATCAACAACAAAAACTAAAAAAAACAAACAAAAAATACCAAAAAGAAAACCAAACTAAGCAAACAACTAGAACAGTAACAGAATCACAGAAATGGAGATCACATGGAGGGTTGTTAGCAGGGAGGTGGAGGGGGGAGAATGGGGGGAAAGGTACAGGGAATAAGAAGTATAAATGGTTAAGTACAAAATAGACAGGGGGAGGTTAAGAATAGTATAGGCTTCTACATTCCTACAGGAAATGTAGAAGCCAAAGAATTTATATGTATGACCCATGGACATGAACTAAGGGGGGATGCAGGACAGAGGGGAATAAAAGGGGGGAAATGGCATAACTGTAATAAAATAATCAATAAAATATATTAAAAATGTATTGGACCTAAAAAATACTAGAAAAATTACTTTTGGACTACAACTCTTACCCGATTACCTTTTCCCCAAATCCCTTACCTACACTTTTCTTCACCTTATAAAAAAGTTGGCTTGAGGTGAGGTATTAAGACAGTTTTTGATAATACATAACCCACTGTCTTCTTGGATCACTGGCATCTGAATAAAGTGTCTATGAAGATTCAATCCTTGTTTTTACTTATTGGTTCTGGTAGTGACAAGCAGCACAAATGCTGAGTTTTCTGTTTTACAATAGAGAGACTACCAGGAGAAAATTAAATTTAATTTTGTACATTTCAGAATAAAATAAAGCTCAAAGGGCAGCCAGTAATAGAAGGTTATATGACATCTTAAGCTAAGGAGAAGGGGTTGGTTAGTCTGGGATTTTAAGGGGATAAAGGCAATTTATGTGGAGATGAAAAAGCAAATGCTTGGTAAACAAATGTTTGCTATGCCATGTAGAGACAATGGGACAACTGTAATAGCATAATCAATAAAATATATTTTTTTAAAAAAGAGAAACTTTGGGCCTGCAGTCCAGCAGTCTGTTTTAACAGTCCCTCTAGGTGATTTCGAAGTCTGTGAGTACTTGAGAACCAGGCTTTTAGACTGTTGTTTCTCAAAAGTCTCTGTATGTAAGGATCACCTGGGGATCTTATTAAAATGCTATTTCCATTCTGTTTGTAGGTCTTGAGTGTCTGCTTTTCTAACAAGTTTCCAGGTGCTGTGAAAGCTGTGGACCCATGGACCACCCTTAGAGCAGTGAGGTTCTGAAATATCATGGTCACTAGAAATTTGCACCCTCTATTACAAGTGTATAAAATGGCATTCTAAATTAAATGTTATCCTTTTGTGAGTGAGCTACAGTGAGTCAGGGTCTAAAATGTATTATCTTTTTGAGTAAACCTGATGATATTGTGAGTTCCTGGGTGTAAAACCTGAGGAGATAACTTTTGTTGTTTGATTTCTTTTGGACATATAGTAGGCACCTAATAAATGCTACAGAAGGAGTGAATGGAGACCCTGTCATAATTTTTTCAGGGACCCATGCCTGAATGGCTAGGCACCATCACTCTGATGAAACTTTTTTAATGACAAAAAGGTGTTGGAGCTGGAGGGGTACACACTTGCAGGCACCTGAGGGAAGAGTCAGGGCTCTGTACCAGAGTTTCCTGAGGATACTTCTTCTTCTGTGGACACTTGGCTCATTTTTTCTCTAGTGAAATCCAACTTCTAATCAAACTTCATTTGTTATACGCCTCTGTGCACTCAGCACTAATCATTTTTGCTAAATTAAATTTCTCCCTCCAATACTTCCTTTCTCTAACTGCAACTGAGACAAAAATGCACTTCCTGAGGCTGAAAAGGGACCTATACCAGGGCCACTGCAGCCTTTGTTTTCAAGGGGGAAAGTACGGAGGTATTTTCTTGTTTCTCTTTCCCTCATGTCTCCATTCCCACCTCTTAGTGATTCTGGTGCTTCATCCTCTATTTTAGGCAAATTGATCTTTTCTTCTACAGAAGGTCTCCCAACCAACCCCCTTGTTCATTTGTTCATTCTTTCACACCCTGCTGGTGAATAGCAGATGCTAATCCTTGCTCATGAAAGGCTGATAACTTCTTTTTAACAGCCTCTTTTCTGGTTGAGAAGCTCCAGGCTATTTGTCTTC